TTTAAATTCTTTAAAGGCTTCCTTGTTTTTCTTATTGATGATTTATTTTTTGGTGCTTGTGAGGAGGACACCAAACTATTATTTCAAAGGCCACTTTAGATGATATGAAATGAGCCATCATTTCATCATGATCAGCATTTCAGACACATGTGAAGACTGCTTTACACCACTCATTCGGCTTTCTCATATGCCAATACTATGGTAGCTGAATTAAGCTAAATGCCCATATATCCTAACTGTCGATATGACCACTAGATTTTCATACAAATACAAGACAAGTGCTGTTAATATCTTTTAGATGACATAATCTCCTTGTGTTACTTACCGACCCCATTCCAGTTTGAAGAATTTTCAGTCCAGACATTTCTTCAAGTGTTGCTTTGTTGTCAACTGTCAGGGGAAAGAAAATAAGAAGTCCAGGGATCAGCTTGGAAAGTCAACATTTTTCAGGACATAGCTAAACATCTTATTTTTCTTTTTAAAATATCCAATCAAATCACTACTTATATCACCTAATTTAATAGTAATGCCATGGTGCAACAAGTGTGGAGTAATTTGGAAAGCATAAGTTCAAGATCCAGAACTTCCAATGTTCTTTTGATATCTCATTGCTGCCTATCTCGAATTAAAGAGTATCATAATAAACCTAAAAATAATATAGTAATGATAAATTACAAAATTATTGTCAAGACGTTATGAGGAATTGTATGTAGACATCCTTTGCACATGGAAAATTTGTATTTTAAGATGGCATAGTGGTTATTAATTTGATAATTATTTGTTAATATCTTCCATTAACCACCATCTATGTGTTAGTAAAAGACTCAGTGGAAGAGAAAATGGAATGTATGCACTGATTTCATTAATGCTGTGAACTCTTTTATTCACTCTTATTCATGCCTCTACAAGAAACATTCTAAAATAATTTAGCTCCAATAAAAGTCCCATCCTACTATGCTCCTGACTTAGAATGAGGCAGATCTCCAGAAAATAAATTACACTCAATATCTTATCCAAAGAAATGAGCTTGGGAAACAATTAGCAGATGTAAATGAAAACTCTGTAATCCTAATGCCAACACTGAAAATCCACCTGCCCCCACTTCATCCAAAGGAAGTTGTGTCACAATGCAATTGACCTTGGCTTATGGTTCTCTAGAAATATTCTTTGGGATAAAGGCTCTTTCACTTTGGAAATGAAAAACTAGAAAAAAAAATAAGATTTTATTGCAAACCCTATGAATGAAAAGTGCATTGCAATTGTGATTAATGCAGAATGAGATAGCAAGAAAATAGCAATTACTTTCACCTTTCATTGTAATACACCTACGTTAATCTTGGGTAATGAAATTATATCTTTTAGAATGATACAAATGAGATTTTGTTATAGCCTGCCTTTCCCACCTTCAGGGCCTTTTCATTGTTTTATAGAAAGTTTTTCCTCTTGAACAAAGGAACATTATTTTTTTTTTTTACATATAGGTAATTATCCACTGCACTGCAAGGAGGAGGTAGATGGACATAAAACTGGGTTAAAGCAAAAGTACTTTCAGATGCTGTAAGGAAGGAGGAGGGAGTGAGGGCACAAATGTAAACCTTGACTGGCAAGAAAAAATTTTAAGATAGAGCATAAAGCAAATCAATTTTAATGTTCTTCCACTAACAAAGGAAGCATTTTACTGAATGGCAAGGTACTTTTTGGGATAACAGTTAGTGAACCTTTTTAAATTGGCTTAGGAACACAAAGAATACAAAAATGGAATTTTAAAAAAATTCCTCATATATTGCTATACAGACATTATAGTTTTCAGACCCAGGAACAAAAAAAAATCAATCTGAGCAATAACACTGTAGAATATTGTAACTCAAGTATCAAGAAACTTTTCCTGTAAAGAACAAGAGAGTAAATATTTGTGTCTCTGCAGAGCAGATCAAATAGTCTGTGTTGCAGCTACTCAAGTCTACTGAGGTAGTGCAAAATCACTCATAAGTAGTGCTTCAGTGGCTGTGCTTGTGTTCCAATAAAACTTTATTTACAAAATCAGATAGTGGCCTAAATTTGACCTGAAGGTTTGCTGGCCTCTGCTTAATCTACTCTCTTCACTGTGACTCAGAGAGATCATTCTAAGTCAGTCTAATTGTATCCAAGCACCATCCATGGCTGTGACTGTGGAATTAAATTAAGACTCTTAACCAGAGAGAGTTTAAAGGCCATTTTAACTGTGATTCCATACACCTGTGACATAGAGCCTTGCCTTAGCTAGACCTCTGTTATTCAAGCTATCTTCTTTGTCCCCAGTATGTGGCTTGTTAGTTTTAGACATACTTTTTATCCTCATAGAAACCCAAGTCCACCTTTTCCACTGAATGAAAACCTGCTCATGTTTCTAGCCTAGCTCAAGTGGCATGTCTACTTGGAAGCCTTCTCTGTACCTCCCTTCTCCTGACATTCCCAGCAAACCTTATTTTAGTCTGTGTGTCTTATAGTCAACAGCGTGCAAGTATGCAGTGGGTGTCGGTCTCTCCTTACACACACATCAAGTCTTGAATTGTAAATCATTATTAGCTTCTGCTTTGCAAATATTGCCACCATGGCCAGTTTCAAGATGTTCATGTGAAGTCACTAGGTGGGGATGTGACAGAAGTGAAATGGGACCATGCTGGGAGTCCCTCCTTTATTTACACTAGGGAGCTCTGCTGGCTCCCTGGTGAGTGTGCTGCCAAGCCAGAGAAAGGTTCTCTCTCCATAAGCTGCTTTGCTGCCTCTGAAAACCTACTGGTGGGTTAGACATGAGTCAGTTCCGACACAATGATACGTAACAACAACAACAACAATATAGATATAGTGCCAAACTGAAAACTTTACTCACTGTCACGAAATCATTCTGGACTCAGAGCGAGCCTCCACTGGGTTGCTGAGACTGTGAATCTTTCTAGAGGAGACCGATTGTACTTCTTCCATAGAGAATCTGCTGGATTCAACTTAAACAGCCAATCTTTTGTGTGGGAGGAGGTTCCCTAGCTTTCTCCAGCAGAGCTGCTGGTGCATTCACATACCATGCCTTTGGCCTGACAGTGCAGCTCCTTACCAGCAGGCCACCAGAGCTCCCTAACCTTTTGGCTAGCAACCCAAGACAGGCTGCACCATACCAGTAGGGCACCTTCAAAGATACAAGAGATGTGCATAACCTCACAGATCTGATTATGTAAAATAATCAGGAAATGATGCATTTGACAATTACTTTTGTTTCCAATGTAATTTAACTGAAAGTTTAGATAATTTAATTTAATAATGGCTACACTGAACAACTGACACAGAATTCCTGAGAAAGTAAATACTAGTCCAAGTAGGCAGGTGTAAACAGGTCCCAGCATACCTCTGGATAGTATTGTGCATATTCTCAACAGTTAGATCTTAAAATGTTATTACTTCCTTAATTCTGGAATGCATATTTCTCCTACATTTCCATTATGTTTAAATTCAACTATCTCTACCTCTTCATTATGTATAAATGTGGTTGTTATTCTTTTTTTTATTGTATTATTTTTACATGTACCGTCAAATCAGATCTGACTGGTAGAGGAGGAGATTGCCCCCTCCTTCTCCAGCAAAGCATCTGGTGGATTTGAACCGTGTACCTCTAGGATTGCAGTGCAGGGTCTTGCACTAGGCCACCAGAGCTCCCTTGCGGTTGTTATTCTTACCAGACCAATTGAACTACTATACTCCTCCCTGTCTCAGGCAAGAGACTTTGGAGGAAGGAATATTATCCCTTGGCTTTACTTGAGGATTTTACACTGATACCATCTAATAAGATTTTTTTTAAAAAGCACCAGCACCAAAATTTCTCGAATGAGTGCCATTTTCTTGCACAATTCCTTGGAAGATGATCCTGAGGCCATAGTGACCCACTCTTCAGAAATACTTCATCGGCAACAATCTGGACAGACTTGTGGATGAATCTCAATATGAAAATGTTTTAGGAACACTTTAATCCATTTTACAGTGCCGCAACTTTCTTAATCTCACCTTGCACAAGAGAGATTTTTATAAATAAGTCTGAAAGACCTCATTCAAGAAATTGAAAGTACTTTTAAGTGCTAGCGAAAGATGAAAAGTCTCCTTTTGCTGAGATTTACTGCCTCAGACACTTGCAGGAGGCTTGTTAGAAGGCTGAATGGACTCTATAGCAGTGAGTTTGAGTTTGGATGTTTATGGGAGTAGATCAACAGGTGTTCCCTCCCCTGGGACAGCTGATGGGATCAAATCACAGACCCTCAGTCAGCAATCAAGTACTCAGCCATTGAGAAACCTGCGCTCCTTCCTTCACCCTTCTTAATCTTAAAAAAAAACTCTGTGCTTTAGATATTTTTACTTTCACTTCAGAAAAGAAACTAGGAAAGGATATGAGTGACAGCTGTGTGTGTGTGTGTGTGTGTCTACTGGAAATGTAACGATTATGCTTAAACATATTTCTATTGCCCAGGCCCATCACTAATTATGGTAAAAGATACCTTCAGGCATCTGTTTCCTGAGATGTATGTTTAGTCAAGGAACAATGAATTTGGAGAACCTTGCTCTAATGAGCATCTGTGAAGGGAAAAGAAAATAATGACTTGACTCAATTTTCAAAAGTTTGTCACTGAGACTGGAAGGAAGCACTGTGATTCTATGTTTGTTTGTTTAAAAGAAAAAGAGTGAGTGGCAGTAAATTAAAAGCTGAAGCTTCAAGAAAGTTACAGAATGACACTGGTCAACTCAATTCAGAGGTGAGGGGGACACAATGGTACTGCTGATGAGGGATGGTTGGTGAGCCTGAGGAGAGGGTGAATCCAAAATCAAACCGTCCAAATAATTTCAATCCAACTCACATTTTCCTTAGGACAGTTGAAAACGAGACTTTCATTCTGTTTTCCCATGTATAATGCATAGTTCTATATAGACTAGGTAGGGAGAATCACAGCCCTCTTCTCTCTTGCTCTCATTGCCACCGAGGCAGCTCTGATTCAGAGTTGACCCTCCACTGGCTTTTTGAGGCTGTAAATTACAGGGCGGAGACTGCCCACCTTCCTCCTGCTGAGTGGCTGCACATGTGAGCCCCCAGAGGAGTGTGGCCTTTGGGTTGGCAGCACAACTCTACAGCCTAGGTCACCACCACTTCCGTCTCTCTCCTCCAGAGCGGCAAACTCTCCTGTGCAAGCCAAGATCAAGGCCTTCCCAGGGACAGCCAGGTGGACAACTGCTGGGGCGCGTCTGTCCTGCAGAGCTACTGACTGAGCACATTTCCAAATACTCTACTGTCACTATTTCCCTATTCTCAATCTGTTCGCCTTTTTGCAATTAGGGAGGTGCTATGCTTTCTGTTGATGAACCATTTGTTTTTAGTCCTT